TGATTTAACGAAAAACGCGATTATTCAGTGTTATTGCTGGCACAAATTATAGGAACAATCACAGAAACTACTTAAAAAATAAAATTTGAAGTAAATTAAACTATTGCTGACAGTTGTCTCTTTACTTACTTTGACAAAACCTTACATTTTTTCCTTAAGAAAATATTAGATTCACTCTTAAGAAATCACGTAAATCGAAAATATAAGGATCGGACAAGTACAACCCTAGCTCTTTGAATATTATTTAACTTTATTACCGAACTGTTGAGGTTACCACTCGTGCAATCCAATCGCCTCGAATATCAGATAATTAGTTTCATAATTACTTATATTGTAAGTCATATTCCAGTGTGCAGATTCTAACACGTCTCTGGACACATGAAGGTAGTATCGAGACGAGCGGAAACAGCCAAAATGTTAATACGTCCAAAAAAGCATTCGTTCTACAGATAACAGTACCGAGGAACGTCTCTTGAGACCACAGGCCTCAAAAATCCAGAATTTAAGGCCGTAGATCGCTTCTATGAATTATTTAACTAAAAGATTTTTAACAATCCTTGCCTAGTGTTGCGCCGATTGCATTGACGTAATATTTAGATGCTCTTTTTCAAACGAATCCTCATATGTTTAAAGTCAAACAGAAATTCGTCACAGTCTATCGCTAGAACATCGTAATAACTTAAGTAATATTATTCTAATACTTAATAATGCTTCTAATTATTCTACATATATTTACTATCGAACCTGTGCCGGTTTATTAATATTTCAACAATGGGAGAAAAATATTTGTATACGTGATCGCATTTCTTACATGAAACCAAACATTGTCAACTATCAGTATTTTAAATGAAGCTCTGGCAGTTGGTGCAATAGAATACGACTCGCTTGTTGGTGGCGTGATTCTTCCTGCAGCACAGCCCACATATTTGGGCTCTTGAAAAGAATCGGTATCCAGAGTAAGTAAGATGGCTTGCGTGATCGCTTCCTTGTCCACTTCTTACGTATGGCAAAAGTTCCACTTCTTGATGTATGTGAATAACATTTTCAGCCATGGCAGGGATGAGAAAAATATAGATCAAGAATTAAATCTTCAGAATGAGAGATTTCGATCACTCTGTGACATCAAACAAGTCCCTATTTATCCATCCCATCTGACTTTTCTGAAACAATAAATATGTTCGTACTTGATAGTTTTCCTTACTTTTTCAAAATGTATTAAATTCACTTAATTACAAGAGTGAAACATACAAATTACTTGCATAATAATTTTGTACTTTAAAATATAAGAAAGTATACATGATGTTCTTACTTTCAGGGAAAAAATATTTAGTTGTTACTTTTTACTAACTGAGAAACCTCGCGTTGGCTGGGTATTTAACATTATATTTTGTTTATTTAAGAAGAAAGAAGAAATTTTCATCTATTACCCACCCTTAAGACGGAACCACTATTCTATTTATCTCCCTCCGTCCTACCCCGCGCTCTCTGCGTTGCCTCCCGTCTGGAAATACCGTCTTCCGCTACACACTAAACAAACTTTCTCAATAAAAAAATATTAAATTTTATTCCTATTGAGGTTCCCCGTCCCAAACTTCTTCACTTCATAACTGAAAAAATAATGAAATCTAAACAAAAAAAATTAAAATGCATTATCACGTATATTATTTTTGTGGAATCTTATATATATATATATATATATATATATATATAACTATATATATACCAATACTTTCATTCAATTGCCATTATATAAAATTTTCTTCTCGCGTATTATAATAAAAGTTGATATTATCTGCCGCATCAATCGACGTTTAAAAATAATTAGCGTAATTTAATTGAATTCGAGTAGTGTTTAGTATTCCTGATAAATAGTGGCGAACGGGAAATGAGCCATTAATCACTTAGACCATTATATATCTCCAAACTCCGAGATCACAGTGGATCCCGACTTGACCAAACTTTTCTATTATCTAAATAACAATCTGTAAAAACCAGTGTTGTCACGTATTAAATTCTTCCAAATACTCATTTACGATACTGCTTTACTTCATTATACTGCCATATTTATTACACATATATATTCTTGGGAACTTTCATCATTGTAATAATTCTTTTAACACCCAACGTAACGTTTTAAGTACATCCACTATATTGAAAACATTTTCTATAAAAATGCATCCATCCGTCAGTTTCAGCCAAAAACGTAAAGTCATTTAATATGTTTGCCCCTCATGACGCTCACCCAACTGAACAATACATAATAATTAGCTTTTATTTATTACAACTAAACATGTTTGCTGCATCATACTTTTAACGGCAATATTAACCACACCCATAAGAAAATGATATCTTTCAAAACATTACGTCTCTTATACACTTAACGCACTCACGCCTTACACGCATAAATCAATTTCCAGTTACTTTATTTGACAAAGCAGAGAAAAACTCAGAATTGTTTCGCATTTAACAATTGACAATGAAAATAAAGCAGTAAACAACTCTTAATACGCAATTCTGTGCATGATGTATCGTGAGTCTGGATGTAAAGCTAGGCAAAAAAGCCTAGAAAAGTATTATTTGTAATATAGTGAAGGTTTATGGTTATAAATCATACCTATGACTCCAGGGCTTTAAAGAATCTATCCAACAAAATTTAATTGTATTGGTTCAACCGATTCATAGAGTTTCGCGCTGTTAAGCCAGCGAAAATTCTGTCTTGGACTGAGAAATTTAATATAATGCTATTCAAATTTAAAACTCATATATTATTTTATACCATTGGACTTCTTATCCTTTCGTCCCCCCTTGAACTAAGACGTCATTTCGCTCCCATTCAAACTACTATTCCAAAATTATCTTAACAAATTGAGAAAATCGGAAAAACTAGACGCCAACTTAAACAGACCGAATAATATGGCTTCCACCAAAACCGTTCAAACTACCACGCAATAAGTCAACTAATGAACGACATAGAGACACGCCACGAAGAAGAAAAAAAGCAAACTTTTATGCCATTTTCTTCAAATTTGTAAAGCCATCGACTACACCAACAGGCAATGGATTATGGACGAACTCAGAGCAGTACTTGCACTACAATATATAGACAAGACTTATAAGCTCCTTACTGAAATACGGTAGAAGACGGTCTAACTATATCAGAGCCCCAATTATCCAAACCAAACCGGAGTGCTTCGGGGACTCATTAGTCCCCTAATATTCATCCTCGCATTCTAACAGAACCTGATTCGGACCTAGCAAAGAAACAAGTGTCATGGATAAAAGGAATCAAAACATCATGTTTGAAAGAAAACAAGTCATGCCATAAACAATCCATTACCACGTATGTATTCTGATTAACAAAAACATACAAAAGGTATTCAGAAGAAAAGTGAATTAAATACTGTAAATGGGAATGATCAACTGAGCATTGCCAAAGCACTAAAACAAAACAAAAGCAATATGAATTTTGTGAAAAAGTCTCAGAAAACAGAAACACTAAGAACATTGAGACTTCACCACAAAAAATAATGTTCTAAGCAACCCACAAGCAGCTAGCAAAAAACATTCACTAACATTCCTCAGAATTGGAGAGAAAATTAATTCACTGCCACACTTTAAATAATATAAATAACACGGCACAAATATCCACACATCCAAAAAATTGTGAACTCCATAATATAGCGGTGAAAATATCACCTGCAGAAATACAAAAAAAATTCATAATCAATGGAAAACAAATCTCTACAGGACTGGATAATATTCCTGAAACCGCTCATTAAACATACTGCCACACAAACATAATAGAAGTGTAGTATTTTAATCATGTTTCATGCCATTTGAGGTTTGACTTGAATAAAGACCTAGAAAGTTGTTAACCGACATGAGCAAGATTGCATTATTGTCATTTTCAATGGAGCATGCGATTGTGATTTATTGAAACTGTTTTTCCTTCGCCTAACTATTAATTATTTTACAAATCAAATGGAAACTTCTGAATCATACTATTTTATTGTTTCCTTTTTTTGCAATGTTACATTCGTGTCTCGACAAACAAACTGTTCTTCGAGGGCATATCTTTTACATAACTAAACAAAAGAGTAGAAACCAAGATCGAACCCTGCGAACTCCATTTCCATTGGTAAAGAATTGGAGGATAAAGTTAGAAATAATGTTCCTTTCATGCCAGCATATAGCTATTTCAACGCTTTGAGATTCAATGTTAAGGCTACGAGGTTATCCAATCTAAGGCGATACACGAATTCCATAAAGGCCAATTTTGAAAGCCAAGATGTATGCGTCAAATACGTCAAAATTTTCCGAAAAGATCTAAAAATATTCTGATGGTGTGTGCATTTCTGTTCATAAAATGACGGAAGCATTAACTTGGTAAGAAAAGAAAAATGGCAGTTTCCGTAGATTTGACTTTTCTAAAACCGTGTTGCGAGTCTGAAAACGCGTCTTTTTCCTGACAAAAGCATTCATTCGCCATAGAGAGAGTGTCTCTAATATCTTTTTAGAAACCTGCCAAAAGAGAAATTGTCCGGTAATTTTGAACTTAATTTTTGTCCCTTTTTTAAAAAGTGGCTTAATTTTTGCTATTTGTGGAAAATATCTGGGAAATATTCCTGTGGCACTAAGAGAAGCATTGAAATTAATGTAACGAGCTGTATAAAGAGAGTACAAAGTGTTTTAATAAAAAATGCGG